AAGGTCAAGGAATCTAGGTGGAGTCCGGGTAAGAGTGGCTTAAGTGAAGCCACACCAAGGGCAGCGGCGGACTTGCAGAGAAAATCATTACACGTGTTTTACTCAACTGGTAACCCTTGTGCTATGCTCTTTGCTAGGGATGGGGCAGCTATAAAGACCAAGGAAGCAGGAGTAATGCTTTCAAAAGTTCTACATCTTATAGAAGCAACAGACTCTTAAGCAAATAGAGTGTTACACAAGCAGGGCCACTATGGACGGTTGTTCAGATATTTCATTGCGTAAGAGTGCTGAGCTTAAGAGGCAGGTGGGTCTGAAATCGCAGTTTTACTGGCACCGTGCTAGGTCTGTGTGAGAGAGGGGCAACTTCTCTAGTGGGGCAAACTTGTGTGGACACAAGCCCCAAGTGTAACATTTTTCTAGTATAATTTTTTGCAAATTCTTCCAGATACTAATCACAGGTGACTAACCTGACATGAGCCCTTCACTGAAATAAATGAGCACAGAGGTCTTTGCTTTGGGACTGGGTAGCTGGTTTACTCAGTAAAGTACTTGCCTTGCAAGCTTGAGGATCAGAGTTCAGCGCCTAGAGCCCAGGCAAAAGTGTTGGGAGGTCGAGTCTGGAGGATTCCTGGGGCACACTAGCCAGTGGCGCAGCCTACTCAGTGAGCTCCAGGCCAATGGAAACGACAAAGAAAGAACAAAACACCAGTGACACACCTGGGATCACCTCTGGCCTCTACATGCATGCAGAAACCCACATGCGCACTGGGCACAGATATGTCTACTCATTTCCACATGGACTCTCTCTCTCTCTCTCTCTCTCTCTCTCTCTCTCTCTCTCTCTCTCTCTCTCTCTCTCTCTCTCTCTCTCTCTCTCTCGCTTTCTCTCTTGGTCGCTTGAACACACAAAGGCACACAAGCATGCACACATACACACGTGCGCGTGCATCCACACGGGGTGGGGGTGGGGGGGGTGTGGGAGCTCTGCTCTGCAGAATGGCTGTGAGCAGTAATGGTTTGGGGTGTTAGGCCAGCAAGCATAGATAGTAACAAACAATAGCAGCACTCCAGAAGCTGAGGCAGGAGGATTGCCAATTGGAAGCCAGGCTGGGCAAGAAAGGAAAGATGACATCTCAAAAACAAAAATGGAATAAAACAGCAGCTTCTAGTATCTTGAGCAAAAGGCACTGGGTGCAGAATCACATGCAGAGAGATGCTTGGCAGCATAGTGAAGGGGACATGCCACCTTCTCACCAGGGGTTAAAATGGCACCTTCTGCCACACATCTGGACAAAGGCCCCTGACAGTCAGCTTCTGAGACTCCTTGCTTTGCTAGGAAGAATCTACAGGGCACTCGTCACCAAGCTGTCTTACCAAGACAGTGACGAGCCCAATCCAGGCAGCTGGAGCGGGGTTGCTATTTCATTGCTGACAATGTCAAACAGATGCTGGCAAGGCTGTCAAATTGGACAAAAAGGACAGTACTCGGAGCTTAGGCAGGATTCTCTTATCTTTTTAAGGGGTACAAAAGAAGAGAAATAAAATTAATTAAAAATAACCCTGCGGGGTAGATCTGCATACCCATGGAGTAGCCACAGGATTGTGGCTGGGGAGTCTCAGAGAAGCTGATGATGACAAGCAAGGGATCTGGGCTGTCAGGATGACAAGAGCGGAGGGAGGAGTAAGCCAGAGCTGCAGGCACTGTAGTCTTTAGGCACCATCCGGTCGGTTTTCCTAAGACCATGGGGGAAATGCTGCCCGCCCCATAGGGAGAGAAGCTCAGAGGAGGCAACAACAAGTTATCAGGTGCTGCAGTGAGGAAGGTTAATGGCAGGCCCAGAGCCCAGGCTTGATCTCAAAAGCCAGGCCATTGCTCCAAGAGACATCATGAGCCCCAGCCTGCCATATAGACCGTGTAGCGCAGTTAGCCCGGCCTGGCCTTCCCGCATCCTCTTTGGTTTTCAGTTGTTATATTTTCATTTGTGGTGTGGAGATACAAATGTCATTGTGTACGTTGCCCATCCTTGATGAGCTGAGTCCCCCTTAAGGCCTTCTCTGAGGGCCATTGCCTTGCATTTCTCTCATGAAGACCACATGTGGGGAGAGATCCCGCTGTGTTCTCAGTGGGCGTCAGCAAGCACTGAATGGAAGTATGAACAAGTTGTATGGAGAGTTCTCTGTTCCTATTAGCATTTCTGTATGCCTGGTTTGGGGACCATTGGCTCAAGGATGCAGAGAAATGGCTGGTGCTACCAGGTATTGGGTGTTCCATTGCCTTAATAAAGAGAACTTTGGGGCTCTGGGCCTATGGTGGTGGGATGCTCAGCATCCCTGGGGTCACTCACTGACTGGGCACTGTCTTGGGATGATGGCTGGATGTCCCACTTCCTCTTCACAGGATGGAGGCTGGTGGAAACTCCACTGTCACAGACCTGAATTGGCCTGGCAGTTGCACTCTAACTTGGCTGCATCTGCTGGGAGATGCATAAGAAGTCTGACTTGGTTTCTGTTGTATGTCTGGTTAAGGCAGGATGCTTAGAGTGTGGGAAGCAGGATCCATGGACAGCAAGGAGCAGTTTGGAGCAAATGGTTGCTTTAACCCTACTCCTTGCACAGGACCTTTGCCAAGAGCCTTTGTGGTCCCCATGTGGTAGCTTCCTTTGTCTTCCCCACACACAATTAACTCTTTTGTGTCCTTCTTAGACCATTCTTTTAATAGACCTATCTGCATGCTTCTTTTATCCTTTCCCATATTTGTTGCCTTTATTACACATATTAGAATTTGAAATAACTTTATGGCTTTCTTGCATTAGCCAGGATCTTCTGAAGGACTAGAACTTGGAGAACATATGCATGCATGAGAGTTGTTAGATGGGCTTCTAGGATGCTGTCTGAGAAGTCCAACATTGGCTGTCTCAAACTAGGGAGGCCAAGAATCTAGTAGTTGTTCAATCCATGAAGTTGGATGCCTTAGTAGCTCAATCTGGTACTGAACGCCTGGAGGATTTATGGAGATCGGCTGGTCTTCAGTCTGATGGAATCCTGCAGAAGCAGGTTCTGATACTGGCAAAGGGATGCTGCAGAAATGCATAGATGGACTTGCTAGTGACAGTGAGAACAATGGCATTTAAAGCAATGCTTCTTTCTTCCACGTCCTTTTATCTGGACTGACACTGGAAGGTGCTACCACATTTAGGGTGGTCTTTCTGCTTCAAATAGTCTGAGCAAGAGAATCCTCACCGAGTGCCCAGAAGATTGTGTTTTAGTTGATTCCAGATGTAGTCCAGATGACAACCAAGCTTAGCCATCACACTTGCATTTTGAATATGTGATACATGCGCACATGTATGTGTGGGCCATGTGAGCCCAGTGGTCTGGTCTCCGTCCCTGACAGTACTGGGGTTATGGGTGCGTATGGCCATGGTTGGGTTTGTATGTGGGTGTCAAGGGGATTTAAACTCAGGTCTCCATGCTGCACAGCAAGCATTCTCACCATTGAACCATCTCTCCAGCTCTGTTTGCTTGTATATAAGATATTTAAACTTATCTTCTCAGCTCAAATATAAGCTCTGAGAAGACAGGCATCATCTCTGTGTGGTCATCATGGGTAAGTGGGCATTCATATTGGTAGGATGTTTGGTTGATGAGCTAATGGATTATGTCATGGGCTAAGACACTTTTTCAAATTGAGATGGTCAAGACTCTGCAATAGCATCTTAGGACCTTTTTAAAACTGAAAACTTGTGTGTGTGTGTGTGTGTGTGTGTGTTCGAGTGACAGATACCTTTACCTATTGACCCATCTCTCAGGCCCCGCAGTTGTGAAAACAGTCTATGAAAACTGCATCTTTTGAGGCAATTTGAGCCCATTGCTGCATTGGCAAGGCGACTCATAGGTGCTTAGTTGTTCAATGCTGGGTGCTGACTAGGAACTGTCCCTGCTCACCCTGAGTTTCTGTAGCCCAACATAATTGGCACTAGCACCTCGTGAGAAGACCCAAACTCTCCCTCATGACTTGTGCACATGTGCCACACACTGCAGGCCAGACGTACAAGCTGTGAGCTAGAATGATCTAAGCCAGTCAGTTTGACTGCCATGATCAGTGCTTCATGTTGGGACTAGGATTTAAATCCTGGTAGCCTTGGGCCTTGGGCCTGGCAGGAAAGTACTGTGGCAGGCAGGATTCTGCCCCAAGAGGGCAGTGGCTGTAGCTGACCCACAAGGGACTTTTGTTTAAATTGGAAAGGGGTGCCGTTGGGTACGTGCAGCACTGTGCATGGACAGACAGCTTAGGAAGTGGAGAATTGACTGGATTTTAGCTCCTTCCTGTCCTTTTGGCTGAGTGTCTGTGTGGTAAATAACCAAACCACTGGGCATGACGACCCTGAGGGGAAAACATCTGAAAGGCTGGGGTCCTTTCTCCTTGTCTTGCTGATCGGACTCTGTGCTGCTTAGTTTGCATCAGCTTGGCACGAAATGGATCATTTGGGAAGATGAGACCTGTTGCGGAATGGCCTGCATCCATCATCAGTTTGGCCAGTGGGGCATTTTCTTGATTAATGATTGGCATGGGAAGGCCCACCCACTGGACAGGTGGGTCTGGCTTGATGTGAGAAAGCCAGGGGAACAAGGCAGGAAACAGCATTTCTCCATGGCCTGGACTCATGTTCCAGCCTCTGCTCCTGCTTGAGTTTGTACCCTGACTTTCTTTGGTCATAGGTGTCACCGCAAGTGGATGCCAAATAAACCCTCCCATCACCCATGGTTTGGTTAGACTGTTTTATCACAGCAGTAGAAACAAAGCTAAGATCCTCTCTGCAGGGCCTTTCTGTAGCCCGTCAGCTGTGCCAGAATAGGCTCAAGCCTCTGTGGAGCTTGATTAAGGGGCTAAGGAGCTTCAAAGAGAGCTACATTTGTCAGGGGACTGGTGTGTACCAGCTAGTAGGTTAGACACCTGGTGTACAATGATGAGTGTGACTTAGTCCTTCTGTCTCCTTTAGGCAGAGGAGAGGATCCGTGCCATGTAGAGTGCCATGATTCTACTTACAGACCTATGGATGGGGTCATGCGTGAAGATAAGGAAGGACCTCCACGGCACCGGTGGGTCAGACTCGGGAGACGGGACGGGAGGGGGCGCTGTTTGCAGGGGGTGGGAGCTAAGTGGCTTACTGTTGCTTGCTGGGGCCGGGAAGCTGTGAGGTGGATGGTTCGGGCAGAGGAGACTGACCGGAGAGAAGTAGAGAGGAGGTCTTCACACGGGGATGGTGGCCGGGGAGATGGTTGCTCCAACTGTGTCCCATCAGGAGCCAAAGCCATAAGCCATAAGCCAAAAGATGGGCTCGATGGCTGAGCAGTCTGGCCCAAGCCCCGGAGGGGCAGGTGGCAGTGAGGTCTGCTTTGTGGGAGGGAGGCTGTGAGGATTCTGGAGCCTGCACAGGCTGTTTCTAACGCTCATCCCACACAGCACCAGGCATACCCCTGTACACGCTCAGCCTCGCCACTTGCAGTGTGTACTTACGCCTCAGATGGTACCGCACAGCTCTCTGCACGACCAGCGAGGAGAGGTCCTGTGCTTATCCCAGGAGAGGTGCAGGGGATTGTCCGAGATTCACCTGCCTCTTGCTGTTTCTAACTCAGGAATCTTCAAAGCTCTCGGTGCCCACTGCTCCACCAGGTGGCAAGGACAGCTGGATCACAGTTGGCTGCTTTTAGGGTTCTGTCCAGCGTTCAGTTTCTCCAGTAGGGCACAGGGCTGGATTCCCAGGGTGGAAACCATCAGCTTTTAAAGTCTAGTCTCAGCAAACCTAGAAGAGTACTTGGATTTTCTAGGTCCATGCGGATTCCATGACCAGGCAAGTCGAAGGCCAGCTCAGAAGCAAGGAGAGGAAGCACCTGCCACTAGGCCCCCAGTTGGCGGCCTGGTTTGGGGAGCTGGTGAGACTTTGGTGATGTGGGGTCTTGTGGAGGAAGTGTGTCACTCTCTTTGCTTTCTGAGTGTGGCTGCCGATGCAACCTTTGAGGCTCCTGCTCCGGCTGCCAGCCGCCGAGCCTATCCTGCTGTTACAGCCATCCCTCTGGAACCATCAGCCAAAATAGCCTCTTCCTTCTGTAAGTCCCCTTTGTTCATGGTGTTTTATCCCGGCACCAAAAAATTACTAATGCAGTTGGTGGTGACTTTATTTGGAAACAAACCTCCACAGATTTGGGGAGCTGCAGAATTGGGGCTCAAGACCAAGTCCCTCTAATTCCAAGTCTATACATTGAATTTGGGTCCTTTCCTTAAGCTCAGCATGGTATAACCCCTTCCACATCTCACCCTAGGTCTTCGTAGGAGCCTGAGAGCAGTCTGAGTACAAGCGGCTTACTGGCAAGGTGGTTCTCTCTGCTCAGGCCCCTAGCTGTCCCTGTCTTTCCCATCCAATAGTGTTTCTGGCTGCAAAGAGCTATGATTAAAACTTGCATCAGTGATTCCAGTACTTTGGAGGTGAAGACAAGAGGATCACAGGTTCCAGTCCAGCCTGGGCTACAGAGCAAGACCTTGTCTCAAAAGTCAGCACTCAGCCTTCACATGAGTGCATATGCACACACATCCTTCCTCTGCCGTGTGTGGTAGAGTTTGTTTTGGTAGTTGCAAAGAACCACATGGCCAAGTCTTCGTTCTCTGTGTAGATTCCTCCCATACTAACTAGAGACTGGTCCCAGCTTTGCTCAAGTAAAGGGATTGTTAGTAAACCTAGGCAGGCAGAGGCTAAATGAGAGCTTGCAAGTATCTTTTTTTCTTGTAGCCCAAATGCCACATTGTTGGGAAGTCCAGGCCATTCCCAAAATAACACATTTTTATTAATAAAATAAATATCCAGGTAAGAAATGTACAGAAAGTTTACAAGAAGCCCCAGGAGCAGGTCAACTCTGGGCACTCCTCAACCAATGTGGATTTGAAGCCCTACCTCGTCTGGGGACTGTGTTAGGCTCAGGTGCTGTTAGTACTTTTGTCTAGAATAAGTTTGGAAGCGCTCAGATGTGACTGAAATCCCCCAGGGCAGCAGCAGCAATAGGAGGAGGAGGAGGAGGAGGAGGAGAAAGAGGAAGAGGAGGAGGAGGAGGAGGAAGAGGAGGAGGAAACAGTCTTAGAAGAGAGAAAACATTTGAGAGTTTGGCCCCTAAGTTCCTTGGTTGAGTGTGGGCAAAAGTAATTACTGAATGACAGCGTCATGCCTGGGCCATGAGTTTTGTACCAGACACTGCCTATGTAACAAAACTATGGAGAAAAAGATTTAATCTCTATAAAATAAGTGAAGTCACTAAAACTTCTTCCCATTCAAATCAAAGTCACCAAGTAAATACATCCCCCAAACTAAAGAATGTTCCAGATTCCAATGTCATTAATAAAGTTTAATTTGCTTTCCCAGTTGTATGGGTTAATTTTTCTAGCCATGCCATTTATTTCTACATCTTTTCTTCTTGAGTCATAAAATAAATGTCAATTTCAAAAGTTGGATGGTGAATATTCATTCCCCCTCTAAACTATTGTGGGTAGGAGACTATCTCCTGGTCTAGAAGGGTAAAATTAAAATTCCAGTATGAAGTCCACATAACAGAAAAAGAAACTGAAAAGTACCATGGTACCGTCTCTTAAGACTTCCCCTGTAGACCCTCCTCCCTCTCACCACCCTCCCCACAGAGGCCACACTCTATCTAACGCACTTCAGGAGTCCTGCTTGGTTTGTGTGTCTTTGGGGGGGTGGGGCTTGGAATTGTTGGAACTCTGCTTTGTGAATCTTGCTGCTTCTGACTTCTCTTCCCTCAGCACTGTGCTCCTCAGCTCTGTCCACACCTCTGTGTCAAACGTCCGCTGCATTGACTCTGACCGCTGCAGTGCTTTTCACAGAGTCTGCCCTCCGAAGTCCCTTTTGTAATCCACGCAGTTGGCCTGAGAACCCTGGCTGCGCTCTGCAGCATTCTTGTGCTGAACATCTGTCTTCCTGCTCCAACTCCACAAATGTTCTTGCATTTTGTTCGCAGCCACGTGCAAATTCACGTGCCTTTATTGGGAGAAATATTCAGTATGCACATGGATCTATAAAGCTGAACCTAGATTTTTCTATCTCCTCTCTTCATTTCCATAATGAAAATGCCCATAAAGATCAAACTGCTAATATTGTAGCTTTGAAAACAAGCAGAGTCATTGTAGAAATCAATTGTTTCCTAATTAATTAGTACATACCCTGTGAAGCAAAAATAAAAAGTTAAGCAATTTGTTCAAAGCAAATGAACTCTCATGGTAAAAATTCCCATGGTTTGTACTGCTAGTTTGTTTGCTACCCACTTTCAGCATTGCACAGATCATTTAGATAGAAAACTAATAAGGAATAAAATGAACTGCGTTTTAAACTCAGTGGATTGAGCAGGTGTTTATAGAGCATTCCACCTAAGAGCAATAGAGCATACATTCTTCTTGAGTGTGTATGGAATGTTGTTCACGGTGGCTCATGCATTAGGCCACCAGGCAAGTCTTAATAAATGTAGGAAAACTAAAATCATATCAAATATCTTTTCAGACCATATGGTATGAAAGTGGAAATCACCTATAAAAGGGAAATATGAAAATTAATAAAATTAACCAACATGTTTCTGAACAACTGATATGTCAAAGAGGAAATTGAAAAATAAATCTGGAAAATGTCTTAGTCCAAGTCCAGATGTGATGGCTCACACTTATAAACCTAGTATGCCAGAAAAAGAGACTGAGAGATTATGAGTTTGAAACCATCCTGCCTGGCAAAACAAAAACTCGTCTCAAAACCAAAACAACAACAAAACCCAAAAACCAAAACCAAAACCCAGAGTAAATCTTGAACAAAGATGGAAATACAGCTTACTCACATAATATCAAGAAGAGGAGACATTGCAATGGATGTCACAGAAATATAGAGAATTGTAAGACACCACCGTGAACAATTATATATCTATTCAGAGAATTGTAGGATCCCTACCTCATTCGGTCTACCAAGACTAAATCAGGAGGAAACAGAAAAGCTGAGCAAACCAATAATGAGTAAGGACAAAAAAAGGACATCACACAGAAACCTAAGGCTAACATCTCTGATGAATATAAATGAACAAATTCTCCATAAAACACTAGCAAACTGAATTCAACTCCCTGTTAAAAAAGCCATTCATCATGATCAAATAGGATTTATCCCAGGGATAGGAAGAGTATGCATACATGAATGGATAAGTGTGACAATGATAATAGCAAAATAAAAAGGTCAAAATTCACATTGTTATTTCAAAACGAATTTGACCAAAATCGACATTAGTTCATGATAAGAACTCTCTCAGCAAGCCAGCAGGCTGGGGATGTGACTCAATCAGTAGAGTGTTTGCCTGGCTTCTAGAGAGCCTGGAGTTCCATCCCAACAACAGCCAGGAAGGGAAAGCAGAGAGAGCAGTCATTTGGGGACTAGCGGAGCCTGGAGTTCCATCCCAACAACAGTGAGGAAGGTACAGCAGAGCAGTCATTTGGGAACTAGCGAGAAAGGATCTTACTAACTATAGGTGGAACTGACAAGAAACTTACAAGTTCAGTTTCTGATGATATGTTACCAGGTACACTGAGGGAATAGCTGCATTCCTGGGTTCGTCTCAGCATTGTTCGTAAGAGTCAAGGTAAGAAAACAATGGAAGGATGCAACCGTGGTCAAATGGATAGTGCATATGTGGTTTGAAAATAGAGGAAGGCAGGACGCAGTCTTGAAAAGGAAGGACATTCTGCCGTCTATGGTAACATGAGTGAAGGGGGAAGGTGTGCTAAGTGGAATAAGCCAGGCGCAGAAAGGTAAATGCTATGTGATATCACAAGGGGAACCTAAAAAAGTCAGCGTAATAGAAATAGATCGTAGAAAGTATCAAGTCTGTGTGTTGGGAGTGGGCGGAGGAGGCATGGGGAAAAAGGGAATGATTATCAAAGGGAACAGATTTTCAATATGAAGAGAGAAATAAGTTTGAGGAGTATCTTGCAGTGCCTGGTGAGTTCAATTAACGAGAGGTATTGTATATTTCAAAATTGCTAAAAGATGACTAGGTTTTTGTTTAACATTCTCACCATGGAAAAGGATAAGTAGGTAAGGTAATTGATGTGTTAATTAGCTTGTTTGATTTATTTTACAATTGATAAAAACATTGCATTGTATTCCATAAATATGCATAATTATTGCCAATTATAAAACAAATTAATTTAAGATTCAGGAACTTTATATCTATAAACCCATCATACAAAAGACTTAAAGGTAAAATAAAACTGGGAAAATATTTATAGTAGACATGGCAAGTTATTAAATAGTGTCTGTTATTAAGACTTGCCACAGATCAATAACAGTAAAGGTAAAGCTGGGGAGCTGGCTCAGTGTGAGCCGGGCATTGGTGGCACATGCCTTTTGTCCTAGCACTTGGAAGGCAGAGGCAGGCAGATCTCTGTGAGTTCGAGACCAGCCTGGTCTACAGACCAGGTTCCAGGACATCCTCCAAAACAACACAGAGAAACCCTGTCTCGAAAAAAAAAACCAAACCAAAACAGAACAAAACAAAAAGGCCTTGTCAGAGGGACGGTGCTCCTTACCTGTGCTTCACTGCCACTCCTACAGGGTCAGCACTTGGCTGTGCTAGATCTTTCAGCATTTCAGATAGGGCTTTGTCTTGTCTAAGCACGGCTGCTCTGCTGATACTTCTGCCTGTGAATACACAGGCTGGTATGGTGTTCTGAATGACGTGACCTCACCAGGAGGGCCCTGTGTCATGGAACAGTGTGATGGTTATTCTTGGTTGTCAACTTGACTACATCTAGTATGACTACAACTCAGCAGCTGGATACACCTGCAAGGGACTTTTCTTCATTGAATTATTTGAGGTGCGAAGACCCACCCTGAATCTGGATCTTTTGAGGTGGGAAGGTCCACCTTAAATCTGGGCCACAGCTTCTGGTGGCTTCCTCTAGAATATTCTTGTGACAGCAGGTGAAACCTTTTGGGATGTGTTATTAGACCACCAGCTTCCACAAACCAAAGGCTACGAGTGCAGTTAGATACCAGCTGAGGTCTATGCAGAGATTTTCCTGCTGTGCTATGACATATCTATGTTATGTGAGTTTTTCTTGGCCTGGCTAGGTCACACTGCCCTTCTCTGCCCCAAAGAAACACACAGATGCTATATTAGTTATAAATACTGTTGGCCTTTGGCTAAGGTTTCTTTTTCTTAATCATTAACCCATTCTATAAATCTAAGTATCTCCACATGGCCTTATCTTACCAGAGAAAAGGTCCGGGCCTCTTACTCCCTTGGAGTCTACACTGTGTCTGCTCAGCATCTCCACAGAGAAGGAAAGAGAAGAAGACTTAGCATAAACAGAAAAACCCCATGTTACAAAATGGCACCACCAACGTGTATCTCGAATTTTCATGTAAATTTGACAAAAGCTTAAAAAGGGATCTTAGAAACAAAAAACAGAGACAAGCACAGCTTCTTATTAGCAGCATTTTCTTAGGTGGGCTCTGTTTTGCTATAGACAAGCAGAGACTCTTGTGACTCCTTTAAGGGAAGTTTCCTGACTCAGCATAAACAGAGAAACCTCACATTACACACCTATCTGATGTTTCCACCAGTGTATTTGAAAAGTGAATTGATTTATGATATTCTTCGTTCTATTACTCTAAAAACTTCATGAGGGTCTTGGAGGTCAGCATGGAAGGACACTTGATGCCCTGCCTGGTGACCTGAGTGCCTTCACTGGGACCCACGATGGTGGAAAAAGGGAATCAACCTCAAGTTGTCCTCTGAACTCCATCTGTGTGTCGAAGCACAGCATGGTTGCTCCCTACACGCATATGCAATGAATAAGTTTATTAAAAATGTATGAAAACTTCATGGAATGGCTGCCATGTGGAAACATGGAATTTTGGGTGACCTGAATCTGTGCTCCTGGCCTGTGGTCACCAACATTTGGCTTGAGACTAAACTGTTCCCTAGCCCCTTGAGGTGAGAACTGTGTTTTTATATGACAAAGGGAACACACCACAGTGGCTCCATTTTATTTCTGTTTTTCTGACCCTGAGTTTGTCTGGCTAATTCAAGTCTCAATTCTCCAATCACACTTCACTTGCCTCACAGTTGAAAGTCATTTCTTGTCGGATTTTCCCCCTACAGGTCAACACTGCTGTTTCCCATGCTTTGAGGCTCAACCCCTGGGTCCTGTTCCCATCTCTGCCACTGACTCTATGATCTTGGACCTGTAGCCCTTGCTTCAGGCGGTGTGAGTCACTGGAGGGACTGCCAGAGGTGATGAGTGTAGTCCCCGATTTCCCTGCAGCTCAGTGACTGTCCCTTGCCCCCGCCCTCAGTCCTTAGGGAGGGCAG